GGAGGAGGGGGGTAGGGGGGGGGGGAGATCAGATCCGTCACTGTCTGGCTCGGTTTCCCTCATACACACTGTGTGAAGGGTGGGCTAATTTACTGACAAGTCGCCGCTCCAATCCCCAGTCGGGAGCGCCGATACTGAGACTCTTCCAGGGGGAAATACAGGCGGGACTTGTGCGCCGCTGCCAGCCTCCTTTGTAGCCACCATCCACACAGAGAACAACGGGGCGCTATTACAGTTGTACAATCTGAAAAATGAAAAAAACGCACAACGAAATCCGACTAATGAAAAGGCAGAGGCCATTTTGCTACTGAGCTCAAAGCATCAATAGAGCAACATGAGCGCAAAGGAAAAAGAAAGGCTGCCCACACCCAGACATACAGTGGGAGCTTAAAGCGAGCAAACAGTGCAAGAAATGACATAATTATCATTTATTTTTTATCTTTCTGTAAATGGTTTTAAAATTATTGTAGAATAAATTAAATAAATTACTAAAAACATACATTATCTCTACCTTTCGGTTCTGAACGCAGCAGAATCTGAAGGTTTTATTCTTCGGATCTACATTCATACTCTTTTAAAAAAAGTTTTTAAACGACCCACTGTCTGTAAATAAAGTCAGAATTATTTACCTTTTATGTGTGAAATCCTTAGTTTAAAGGCTGGTGTGGCAGCTGCAGCCCGCAGGCCTAAAAGTTTGCAGCCCCACATGGGGGCGCCACATTAACGGGTTACAGACAGAAGATTTAATGGATGGAGGAATGGAAAAGACCTGCTGCTCATTACCATAAAGGCTTTTTTTCTCTCTTTTTCAACAGGCCAGTTTTTACCTCTGTGTTATATCAAAACACCAACAAGTGCTTAGTCAATATTATTTAGTAACCAAACTATACATGGCTGCAAGCCAAGAATGAAGGATATAGCTATAGGCACATAAAGTTTTGAATGATCTCAATACAAATATTAATAAGTTAATACAATAACCTTTAAATGGTTTATTATAAGCCATCAAATCAACTAGTTTTAGCTCCCTCGACTTCCTGTCATTGAACGTTTTTAATGTGTAACTCTTGCTGAATAGCAGCTTTTATGGCAACTAAAAGTGAGATTTACATGATTTAGTTTAGTTTGGTTTTATTTTTTAAGGAACTTCTCTCAACAGAAAAGAGAAAAACTGTTTAGAAGACTGATTTCCATCTGTGGTGAGGTATTAAAAGACACACTGAACACTAAAATAGAGGTGGTAAATGCTCAAATTTAGTGTTAAAACATTACGTAACAGTTGCACAAGATTTGAGGAGTCAGCAAACTGACAGTAAAGGTAGTTTCACAGCAACATCTGGAATCTACACATTGTTCACTTTAGGTAACATTAGCTGCTGGTCATAACAGAGCAAGTAGGCTTCCTGTAGCAGCAAAACCCCTGAATGTATTTCATTTCTAATTCATTTCAGTGTTTTATTAGCCTATTTATGAAGTCTTCTAACAAGAGATTGTTTCTTCTTTCAAAGTAGCCTACTTGGTCTCACTTGTAGTAGCCTACTTGGTCTGCTTCCTGACACTCACAGTGTCATGAAGCATTTCTTGTGTTTTTCCTCTGAATTTGACCTATTTTGTGTCTCATGTCTTTAATTGTACATAGGCTTTAGTTTAATCTAAAATGTAAAGACAATGATTTTATTGTATTCAGTGGTCTACTTCTAAGCACTGAGGTCTTCTCCCATGCAGAATAAGCTAATTAAGATAATGTATGCATGTTGTTTGAGCCCATTCATTGCTTTGAAGAACTGGCCTCAGTGCACCGCTGCGACCACCGCGCCTGGGGTACGCGCACGCCCGGTTTGGGGTTTACGTGCGCGCGTTCAGAGCCCGAGTCACAAAAGCTGCAAGTCTCCAGTGAGGTGGACGCACAACTTTTCTGCACCGACATCAACAAACGGAGCACAGGAGCAGGAGGGAGAGCGGAGAGAGAGCAGACTGTTGGAGTGAGAAAAAAGTTCAGAGATGATGTTTTAAGAAGAATTCTCTCACTTTGCACTCCGGAAACTTTTTTGGCTCAAAGCGGTTTGGATGGTCGGGAAGATGACAGTGACATAGCTTTACATCTTTGGACTCATTCACCGAGTTTCTTCTGTGAGTAAATTCGTCTCAATGAAGAGTCTCTAACCCGGAGTGGCACACTCCTGAAGCCCACAGGACGGGATGGTGCGCCTGCTGAACTGCCTGCTGCTGGGATATCTGACCTGGAATCTGCGGATATCGGACGCACAGGGGGAGTACTGCCACGGCTGGCTGGACGCTAATGGGAATTATCATGAGGGTTTTCAGTGTCCGGAGGACTTTGACACCATGGACGCCACCGTGTGCTGCGGCTCCTGCTCGCTGCGCTACTGCTGCGCCGCCGCGGACGCACGGCTGGACCAGGGCGTCTGCACCAACGACAGGGAGGTGGACAACACCGAGTTCGCAGCGCGTAAGTTTAGTGGTTTTTAACCCCGTGTTTGGTTTATTTTAATAGTTCCTCTCAAACATGCATTAAAAAGACTCTTTTTTTCAGGTCTCCCCCAAGAAATACAGCAGTTTAGTTAAACTTCACATCAAAAGGGCAAATTAATTCAGAGTTAAATTAGATTGCATAGAAACTCCACAATTACATACACTCATTCTTAAATCAAGTGTATTTAACCTAAATGTAATCACATAGTAAATTAGTTTAGTCTAATTTATGGATTATATTCATTTTATCTGTAGGAACGTTCTTCAGAGAGGTCAGAGGTCAGCTGAATAACATCAGTAAAGAGCAGGTTTCAGTGCCTTGCTCAAAGACAGTTTCCACTCACCAGGCACCCTGTCGAATGAAATTATGTGAAATGAAACATTCTCTTAAATATCTGGTGCATCTATCCGAAGCAGACACTAACGTATGTCTCTTCAAAAGGCCAACATTCGTCCTGTTGAACACACAATAAATTGTGTTAAATTGTAAAAAAAAATGCAGGAAAAAAACTAAAGTAGACATTGGTGTGTTGAGAATTACACTTTTTTGATGTATCTGGTCTGTTTTATAGGTTTGGAAGTTTTTTCTGATGCCACCTTTTCAGTTACTGCTGTTTTAAGGGTTTTTTTGTACTCGCCAGCTTGGATCAACCAAAGTGTCCAGTTTCCAGCACCTGCTTTAATCTCCACTCCTCATTTGACCTCAACTCCCTGCAGATTGCTATCAGCGTAAAAAGGAAAGCTAGAGGAGTTTGTGACGTGAGTCACTGGACAAATATTGTTAAAACTAATTCTTTATGGATCCTTAAGAAGAAATGAGCACAAAACTTATTGGATCACAATGTAGGGATGTATTCTCCCACAATCAGGCGTATTGTGCAAAATATAAAACACATTTACTGAGACCGCTTTACCAGCTAAGGGAATCACAAACATTATAAGACAACAACTCATTTTCTTCGGCTTATTTAAAGATTTAACAGACTTAAAGTGTTAACATTAACCCTCTGTTACTTGTGAAATCCTTAATAATAGGTCCGTTTAACCCTCAAGGTTGCATCAGTTTTCTTTAAATTTCCCGAACTGATAAGCTCAGGAGCTTTGACTGAATGGGCTGTGTGCTCGCAATTTCCTATTTTTTTCTTATCACAATAAATAAACATTGGCTGATTTCCTGCAGGAGTGCAAATGGGCTTCATAGAGCGTGACCAGAGCTTTTTGTGTTGTTCAGCAGGAATGTATCTGTTAGAGTTTGTTAATAATACTAGGAAGGATTTTAAATAAGTATTTCAGTTTCAGCCGCCATAAACAGCACTACAGGACCATCGTTTCAGTGACCAACGCTTTATTTTAAAACCCCATATTTTGGATTTATAAGCTCCACATGTATATTTAATGTTGCTTATTATGTAAAAACTACTGTGGCCATCTATACAGCAATGTATATATATATTGTAATGTAAAATATGTCTTCATAGATAAATAGACACTTAAAAAGTCTTATATCTGTTTACATTTACATGACAGTGTGTCATACACCATTTATTAATACAGTATAAAGTCTTTGATTTATTTTCTTACAGTTTTTCAGCCATTAAATTAGTTATTTTTGTGTCTCCAGTGCAATTAAATCACTGATAACACTAATTATGTTCCTTACATGTTGACACATATTAATAACCTGCAGTTTTCAGTCCCATGAATGCGCCTCCTCATTATTGGTCCTAACCTGCCTGTTTCCTCAGAGCCCATCTACGTGCCCTTTCTGATGGTGGGGAGCATCTTCGTCGCCTTCGTCGTGGTCGGATCTCTGGTGGCCGTCTACTGCTGCACCTGCCTGCGGCCCAAGCAGCCCACCCAGCAGCCCATTCGCTTCTCCCTGCGTAGCTGCCAGGGCGAAACCATCCCCATGATCCTCACCACCGCTCCCCCGAGCCTTCGCGCTCCATCGCGACAGTCCAGCACAGCCACCACCAGCTCTAGCTCGGCCGGAGGAGGCAGCTCCATGCGGAGGTTCTCTCTCGGAGGTCAGGGGCAGCAGCAGCACGGCTGCCTGGTGTCTGCCACAGTCTCCTCGTCGGCCTCCACCCCCACTCAGACCCCTCAGACTCTACCTCCACCTCCACCTCCCCCCTACACATCTCCGCCTGCACCCATGTCAGGAGGCCTCCAACACCCCTCCACCCACGCCCAGCTACAGCTCCACCAGCCCTCGCTGACCTCGCACCCCTCTCAGAACACCGGGTTCCTCCTGCCGCAGCAGTACTTCTTCCCTCTGCAGCCCGATGCCTTCACAGCAGCCAAGGGCTTTGCAGACTTCGGACAGAGCTGACAAGGCTCCCAGGAGGGGTAATAGAGGGATTACATGATTTTTTTTTGATGGTAGGATGTGAGCCGGCAAGGACAAACACGCTGCAACACAGCTGGTGGTGTTTGGGTGGAAGGCCCGGGCCGGCTCAATGGACACAGAGAGCGCCAGAGGAGGACAAGGGACAAAGATGCCGAGGTTGAGCAACGTGGCGTTTCCCCCTCTGCATCACAGGTCACATCAACAAACCTGTTAGAGGCAGTTTAAAATCTTGTGCACTTTTATCTTATAGTACATACAAACCCTCACTGGCCTACATTTTATTTTTTATACATGTTGTTTTTCAATGTGACGTCTTACAATACAGACTGAAATCGTGCAAATTTATCTCACACCTTCCTTAACAGACAGAAATACTGTAGACGGCAAAGACACTGTCACTCTGAGACTCTGAGCACCGTTACATTTTTAGAAATAGACGTTGGAAACCAGGGAAATATTGTGTTTTTTGACAATCGCAAGGACCTCCTAAATACAGGAGGATCTGATACACAAAGGACATTTTATTTTGGAAGAATTGTGTGCTTTTATAAGATGTTACAGGCATTATAGCCAGAGCAGGGTTGTCATATTGATTCTCTAATTTACAGCAAATAAAATGTTGTCTCTCAGTACCGAACTGATAAATGTGAAGAAAAGTCTGTTAATTTACAATCTTGACATTTGAGTGTAAAGTGTGCGCTCTGAAAGAAGCCTCATCATCGTTCAAACAAAAAAGGAAACCGGAGCGGCCGGGCCTGCACAGCAGCTCCCTACCTGTCGCTCATTCTTGCGCCAGAGTTCACAGCAGGAATGTAGCGCTGAGATCAGTCATTGTCAGTGTTCAATGAGCATGGCATGGTCACAGTGTTAAAAACAACTCGCCCCAGAAATAGAGGTTTAGGTTGCAGCAACAGGTATGGCAAACTCTCGACAAAGACCCTTCTGTTCTCCGGTTATCTGACTGTGAAATAGACGCAGCAATCAGTGTCTCATGAAACCTGTAAACTGTCTGAGGACGTTTGCGGCTACGTTCAGGGTTCCCTAAAGTCTGCTATCACTGGACTGTAACATCACAACTTCTATGATCAGTTATTTCACAGAATCCAGTGTTAACTTTTCCAGGTCTTGTTTATACTCGCAGCTGTCAGTTCAGACTTCAGTTCTCACATTCCACGCTTTGCTTATAAAAGGATAAAACTAGTTGTGAACATGTTTCCATGACATTTCCTAAATCTTTTGGATAGTTATAATCTTTAATGTCTTTGCCAGATCTTGAGAAAGTTTCCAGCTTCTTTTCCAAGTTCTGCATGAAGGCAGGAATCCTGATGATTACTCCTCACACTGAAGGCTTTTAGTTGTCTCACAGGTTTCATCAAAATCCAAACTTTCTAACTTCTTAAGTGACTGTGGTGATGACATAAACAACACATTAAAGTTATTATCTTCTTCTATTATCTATCATCTTAAACTTATTATCTTATTTTCATGAAATCAAACCAATTTTTTGATACTCTTTGTGGTTGCCATTGTTTCAACAATAGCCAGTATTTATCTCTTGTCCTGTAGTTATCGTTATTAGTGGCGGAGACCGCCTGTCCTGCGGTGCATTCACACTGCCTACCCACATAGACAGGATTTAAAGGAAAAGATGCATTTATGTAATTCAGTGTTAAGGTACAGCCACATTACGTTTCCGTTCAATGAAACTGTCTCTGAAAAAGGACATGTAACAGCTTTAATGCAGGTAATAAATTAATATTGATTATTGACGGACAGAAAACAGCATAGAAGAGCAACGCTAGAGTTTGTATTCTGGCAGTGCGATAATGTGCTAACTGTAGTGAAGAAATATGCTAGAATAATAACTTCTACATCCCCAATTAAGTGCAGTTGGAGATGGAACCAAATGACAAAACTGCCCTTAAAATGATTTTAGTAGGTCTGAAACTAACAATAACTAATAATAGATCTACCTAATGATTCTTTCCTTAATTATTTCGGTCTCTGAAATATTAGAAAATGGAGATACAGTCAATAACAATTTCTTAAAACTCAAGGTGTTGTCTTAAAAATTTTTTTTTCTCCAACCAGCTGTCTAAAACCTAAAGATATTTAATTTCTAATGATATCAAACTGAGAAAAGCAGAATATCCTCACAATTGACAAGCAGGAACCATTTAAATATTGGTACCTTAAATAATATTAAAAGACTCTCTGACTTTGGTAAATATAACCTGAAGAACATGAAGTTAAAGTCTACTTGGGTCACTTTTAATTAATCTGGATTCTATTGGTATCATTTGTTTGTCCTGAACGCAGACTGATGTCTCTCCCTGCCTTTTCCTGTTTGGGTTCTCACTGTGCTGTGTGTCCTGTTTGTCGCCACACACAGACACAAGATGACACAGTGATTACAAACCTGCAAGTACGCAGAAGAAATAGCAACGATGGTCACATGGTTCCTCAATGATTGTAAAGTTTATTTCAGTAGTCCTTCATTGCAGTAAAAGACAACACTTATAAGTTTGCAGTCCCAACATGCAGAACAATCATTGAACAAAATGACAGAAAAGAAGCAAATATCGAACAGAAAAGTTAAAGGTGCGTTTTTTTCTCTTTTGTGAAGTGATCAACACTTGAGGGAGAATTAAAGTAGTACAGTTAACATTTCAGAGAACAGTTTGTGTTATCCATTCATGCAGCCCACGACTTTCACAGACAACAACATGTGTTTTATGTTTTCTGGAAAAAGAAAGCAACAGTCCAAGCCTTCCACGACGACAACATCCACATTCAGCAGTTTGGAAATTTTTGACAAAAATGACAACCAATTAAGTTTTAACACTAAAGACCAGCAGAGAAAAAGGATCATAAACCCTCACTAAGCTGAGAGAGCTTTCCTGTAAAGCAGAGGTACACTGCATGAAGAAAACAAGTTACAAACATGTACACTCAAGAGAAATCATATACCGAAACCAGATAATGCCAGATATCCACTACTGGAAAAGGTACATCGAGTGCTTTGTGCAACATCTCCTGTCGAAGCAAGCTGAGCATCAGGAACTCCCACAGTCTGAGAGTGTGACCACAAACACACACACACACACACACACACACAGTCATACCACACACTAACATTCACACTTCCCCATACGGGCCATGCATCAGCACACAGTAGTACACCATAGTTATACCTGGAGTCGTGCAGACGGACATCTGGAGCAAGCGTCACAACACACACTCTCTCTCACACACACACATACACACACCATAAACCAAACACACCAGGAGGACTGAGATGCCAGAAACTCCTAGATAGAGGACACAGACATGCAATGCATACATAGACGTTATCCACAGTAGAGGCGACACACACACACACGCACACATGCACATGCAGGCAATAAACTGACACTCACACACACGATCAGAAATCTGATCTCCCATAGGGAGAAGAAAGCAATCACACGGACATTAAGTAGTCAATTATAAATAAATCAAGCTGTAACAATATTAATATTAATAACAAGACATTTAAGAAAGCTCAGTTTCCTCATACGATCTATTCTATCCTGCCAGTTTATCAGAGGAACAAAAAACTAAAAGTTACAGACAGTTCATTACAAAGCCAGTCAATGCAAAATTCATACATCTCCAATATAAAAATACAAATCCACAAAATAACTATAGAGACAAAGTAGTTTTGATATTGTCGTGGAGTTTTCCTGGCTAATATTTCTCTCCCTTAAGCTAATGGCACTTATGTTAGAAGGATAAAATCTCCATTTTAAGGGAAACACTATCACCACTGTAAGCTTCAACAAGACCATCAGTTAGCCTCCCATTCACCTCTGCAGGAACAAATCTTAGTTTATACATGTGCCACAAGGCACTCTGTAGTTTTCACATTGTATGAGTGCAATATTGTGGCGGGGAGACAGTGATTTTGTCTTCAGTAGGTGTGTGTGGAGCACTGGTCTAAGCTAGCTTGCTAAACTATTCTTGGCTATCTTTTTCTTCTACGAGGGAAAAGTTCTACGTAGGCACCATTGTGATCGTTGAGACAGGAGTGATGTGTGGAATGCAATTATTTGTCAAGAGCAATGCTTCTGCTGTAATAACGGTGGAAACGGGACTACGGTAGGTTGCAGGAGGCAACTTCTTGAAAAAAATAAACAGGAAAAAATAAATAAAACCAGGCACAATATCTACATACTTTAAAAATGAAACTAAAAGAAACATATTTCAAAAGAAACAAGGATGAAGGCATGAGCAAATGTAAGGCTTTACACAATAGATGCTTCCTTAAGTGCAAAACAAAAAAGTTAAATATTACAAATGTCTGCTCTGAAGTGGTCCGTTTAGTGCTGGAATACACTCGGGAGTGTGATTACATTTGGTTTTCCGAATTCACTAGTTACTTGGAAGATTGTATATACGACTGCTCTTTGGCAATCTTTTACAAGTTCAAATCCTCTAAAACTAATCATCGTCCAGTGTTTCAACTATAATAACAGTGTTCAGGAGTTTGATTTGATTTTAATTAAATGATATTAGATGATATTTAATTGAGAGGAGACAAGCGAGAACAGTGAAGGACTTCAGACCACAGAGCGCTAATAAAGCACAGTGCTCATCATGTCTGCTGGACACACAACTACAGCTGATAGTGAACATGTTTTATTTCGTTCCTTGTTTGTTTTTTTCTTCCCTTTTTCAAAGACAACTCCATGTCCCTCTCCTCTGTCCATTTAATATTCACGCCCCAAAAAATCCCCTCAGTGCTGGACGCACGCGCTCGCACCTCGCCTTCTCCTGGTCAAGCTTCAAATTTGCCATCAGAAACGGCTGCTGTGGCTCCAGATTGGCCGGCGGCTCACCACTCATTGGTCCTCTGTTTGGTGGTGTCGTATGCTCTGATAACGTCAGACTGAGACACCACTCCGTTCTCGTCTTGAGAGAAGGCGTAGCCATCTGAAAAAGGATCAAAGCAGTTTAAACCAGGTCGTGTAGATCAGTGATTAAAGTAATAAATAATACTTAAAACGTATAAAGAAACAAACTTAAAGCAACTGAATAAACTGAAAAAACAATTAACAAAAACACAAAACTTAAAGCAATAGTTAAACATTTAGGGAAATATGTTAATTGGCTTTCTTGCGGAGAGTTAGGTGAGACGCTTGATTCCATTCTCGTGTCTATATGGTAAATATGAGGCTAGTAGCTGCTTAACTTAGCATAAAGACTAGAAACAAGTGAAGACAGCTAGCATGGCTCTGTCCAAAGGTAACTTATGTGCGTGACATTTGTTTGCTGGTGGTAAGAGCCAGAACCAGCCTTCCTGTTTTTACCCGTTTGCAGTCTTTATGTTAAGCTACGCTAAAGGGCCAGCCCCAGTTCCTCCTTCTCATGTATTAGCGTTAGATTCCAGTCACAGACCTGCCGATGTTTGAAAAAAAGGGTATTTTTCTAGAGAAATTGATGCTAATGTAATGTATCACTAATGTTAATACATTATGGCTGGCTTTAGTGTCATATTTAACACACAGACAGGAGAGCAGTATGTCTTCTTACTGTCTGCAAAAAAGCAAATCAGCATATTTCCCTAAATGTCACACTGTTGCTTTAACATAATACGAAATAATACACTAAAAGGAGTTTTAAAGAATAACCACAGCTGCCCTTAAGTTTTATCTGTAGTGTTAAAGCAACAATGGGATCTACCACCTAAACTGTCCTA